GTTCCTTCCGCAGTATCTTGAGGTCAGAGGTGAACTCCTTGTGGGTCAGAGGGGAATTTACTCCCCTGATTACTCAAATAGTACATTTTACTTCCGCCAACACCTTTACAGATTTTTTTTCAATGTTTCTTATAGAAAGATGAATTAAAAACGAAACTCCTCATGAAAATTCAGTATTATTCGTGGCATGGTTGAAGCATCTAAGCAAAATTAATTATATTTAGGGGATTTTTGTTCTTTACGGCGGCCATGTTTTTTAAGAACGTCCTGGAGCCGACCTGTGGTCTCACACCGCAGTTTCTCTGCTGCTTTGCACCTACCAATTTAAACACTCGGGGGCTGCCGAGGGGATTTCAAGGAAAAAAAAATCAGATAACTTTCAATGACAAAGTGAGCAGTTTTTCTACGATTCCTGCCTCGCTGGTGACACGAATCAGTCCAGCAAAATCTTGGACCTTTAGATAAAAAGTGGACCAAAAAGTCGACGTAAGAGCCTTAAGCTCCTGTCCTGTATAACAGGAGCTTTCAGACTAATTTGCATCATCTTGTCTTGACTTGTCTGACTTTTGTTCCTTTTTCGACTTCCAAAAATTTGTCTTCACTTTATTTGCATATCAATCAACAGGTTGTGTATATAAACCTGCTTTCCCCTCTGGTATCTCAGTCACTGACGAAAGCTAGTGGATACTAGCTGAAACGTCTGACGTTTTCAAAATCATATCCAGTTGCTTGAGTAACTGTTTTTTTGGCATATCGTATTACCTGGATGTCTAACCTTCATCGACGTAAGAGCCTTGTTCGTCCGTCCCTCTTTGGCCAATTTGATACTGTCTTTTGCAACCCTAGGATCTGCTTAGAGATTATGTTCAGCCTATTTTGCTCTTTTTGATGTCAGCCCATGAAGCCCGATAGAGACTAGTGTGTACCTACTATAGCAACAAACTGAATGACATAGTCTTTTAATGGTCATAAGGAAAACACTTTATTGGGAATTCCTCCAGTATATTAGCATTTAAGCTGTATAAACTGTACATTACATCTGACGGCATATGTATAACATTTGTCCTTCTTGCCGCTGCTAACAAAATAGACTGGGTCAAGATGTTTAATGCTGAAGTCCTTTTTTTTTCATGCAAACAGTCAAGTTGGTTACAAAATGAGTTGGCTACAACCTCTCTATGGATGTTCATTGTTACAAACTTGTTACAAACTGTTGGCTGCCACAGAAATGGTGACCTCTGTTGACGATGAGTGACCTCTGGCCCTTTGCAGTGTCGACTACAACACAAATGGTAACCTCTGATCCTGTACACTGTTGACTACTATAAAGTGACCTCTGACCCACTGCAGATTTGATGTCAGGACAAATGGTGACCTCTGACCCTCCTCAGAGTTGACTGACCCAAAATTGATGACCTTTCCCCTCCAGCAGAGTTGACTACCAGACGAAAGGCGACCTCTCCCTGAGGATCCTGATGCCGAACTTGCGCCACTCGCGCTGCCCGACCCACAGCTCCTGGGTCGTGTCCAGACAGGCGAGTACAGCCGCGCCCTTCCAACACACCATCTGGGGATCCTGGTCCTGGACATAAACATGTGTTACAAACAAACAAACAAACACATACACACACACACACACACACACACACACTCATACGCACACACACAAACACATGTACACAAACAGACACATACACAGAAATACAGAGGTCAGAAAAGTCTCATTCTTCCAACACACCATATAACCTTTTTATAGGGGTCCTGTTAAAACTGATCTTTGATCTTGACCTCTTCTGTGTCAGTGACTCTGACCTTTGCCCCGTGGTGCCCTACTGACCTTTGCCCTGGTGATGACCCACTGACCTTTGCCCCAGTGGTGACCTACTGACCTTCGGCCTGGTGATGACCTCCATGGTGTCAGCAATGTTGCGGTACTTGGCGGGTAGCTGAGCCCTGACCCTGTGTAGCAGGAAATTCTGGGCCCCCGGAAACTTGAGCCCCCCTCCCACAACCAGGATGCACGAGAACATCTTCTTCTTGGTTTCGTCTGAAGCTGCAAGCAAAGAGAAAAACAGAAATTTGAAAACTAGAGAAGTAACATTTGCAAAGCAAATGCATAATGTTTACCTTCGGACATGGTCTGCTCTGTTAATTTTTACTCAAACACATTCACATACATGTACTACGAGTATATGGTGACAGGAGTAGAGCAGACCATGAAATTGCAACATTATGTGACCATGTTTGGAGAAGAGGAAACTGAGCAAAAACACTAGCTAGTAAGAAAGACCTACCACAGCACTCTATACTGTGCAGGATGGCCTGGTCCACTCCCATCAGCTTCAGGGGGGCGGGTTCTGACCCCCTACGGGAGGCGGAGGGTAGCCTGACCGCCCCCCTGCGATGCTTAGCCTCCGACCCCCCTGCTGCCTCCTCCCGCGCCCTCTTGTGTCTGGGTTCCAGGCTAGGTTTGGTGTCGGACGAGGTTTTGTCACCTTCGCCGCCGTGCTTGCTGCTAGCCTTGGCTTTCTTCTCTGCAACAGCCTTGGCTACCTGCAAATACAAAAATCATGCATATCAAGGGATAGCAGACTTCACCCCCTTACCATTACTGCTTTGCACCCTGGCAAAAATAAGGTGAGTGTGCCAGTGGTAACTGTAAACTGTGGTAGCTAAAGTCCCTGGCAAATTATTCTAGCATTTTTGGTCATAGTTGAACTATATTTCAGCCATGTCAGTGAATGAGCTGCTGTGGGCAAGGTTAGAGGTAAGAGGTCAGGTGTGAGAGGTTAAAGGTTAGAGGTTACAGGTCAGGGTTGAAAGGTTACCTGTTGCTGTGTGCTCTGTGTCTGCAGGAGGTAGTGTTCGTCGTGGATGTCCTCCGGGTCTCCCTGGTTCCTGAGCTGGGTGTGGACCAGACTGCCGCCGACCAGCCCAAACAGCTGCGGGTAGAACAGACCCATGGGGGCCTAAAGGGGGAAATAAACACATGGGTTATAACGACATTCATTAGTAAAATCTGTATCTGTATAGCTGGCATAACACATCAGCTTCTATATCCGTATAGCCGGTATAACCAGTTATGATGCCCCAGCTGTGCTTGGTGGCAGCAAGTGGTAAAGTGTTGGGTCATGTGGCGCAATGGCAGCGCACGCGACTCGGAATCAAGAGGTCCCGGGTTCGAGTCCTGAAATGCCACCAATCTTGTGCCCTTGGGAAAGGCACTTTACACGACTTTCCTCACTTAACTCAAGTAAAAACAAGTACTATCTGTCCTGTATTTTTTTCTATGTGTGAGACACAACACCAGCAACAGCTGCCTCTGTTCCGCGTGTATTGCACTTACGCAATTTCAATAAATCAAATCAAAATCAATAATAATGATAATAAAAAACATACCTGTATGGTTTCCTCGCCGACCCTGATCTGGTAGCGCCGGCTGAATGTGTCCGGCCTCTGCACGTGGACATCCTGCAGCCTGGCTCCAGACTGGTCCTGGGGAGGGGGGAGATTTCTATTGTTTGATTTGATTTATTGAAATTGCAAACAATACAATACTCGTGGGCCACAGGCAGCGGGGGCTGGTGTTGTGGCCCACAAACAAGACATACATTTAAACCTAAACAATATAAGTACATAAAAATCTTTTTTATTTATATTTGCCAAAGAAAAACATATTGGTTTTGCGCAGTTTCTTCCTGCTCTTCTTTTTCTCCAAACAGTGACCTATGACATGATTTGTTGACTCTGTCACCATGGTGACTGGTGTTGGGTTACATAATGTTGCAATTTCATGGTCTGCTCTGCTCCTGTCACCATATACTAGTAGTACATGTATGTAAATGTGTTTGAATAAGAATTAACAGAGCAGACCATGTCCGAAGGTAAACATGATGCATTTGCTTTGCAAATGTTACTTCTCTAGTTCAATTTCTCTTTTCAGGCAAGAAATTTTTACTGTTAGAAACCTTGATAAAGGGTTAACAGGGCTCAGAATATTGGGTGCATATTACTAGTATAATTAGTGCAAGTGGGTGTGGCGTCGTGTGGCGTAGTGGATAGAGCGTTCGGCGCTCAACAAAGGAGCCCCGGGTTCGAACCTGGGTCGGAGCACGGGGGCATGTCCGAACATGCGCACCGACGTTGTGCCCTTGGGAAAGGCACTTTACACGTATCCCCCCTCAACTAGAGGGTCAAGTCTCCAACGGCAGTTGTCTTCAGCTGGCGGACGAGAGCAGCGCCAGGCGGGCTGGCGTAGTCAAGGCGGAACTTGAGCGTAACCAAGTCACCGGCAGCTCGCTGCAAGCATCCCAACCGGAACCAGCACGTCTCCCTCGATGGATCCGCTGGGGAAGACGGATGCCCAAGTGTGTGGGTCTCAGATTCGCAACCTGTTATCCACCTTAAACAAATCCACGCGAAGGCTACCGTGTCAACTGTGACCCTCACTCAGGTGTAGGGACTGACACGGTCATCATACTCGGAAAGTCTGTATATCTGTACATGAATCTGTATCTGTGCATGGCTATGTATCTGTACATGAATCTGTATCTGATTGCAAATAAAGATCACGAGTGATTGCCATAGAGTGCAAGTGAAATTGGGGCTGTGCAGGTATTTCTGATGTCTACATGAACCTAACATGCCCTGCCTTGTCCATGTACTAGTTGAACATTGATGAAGGTTAGAGATCCAGGTTATACACTCTTAGACAATTCAAACTGTAGATGTACATTTTTAATTGATAGGTAGATTGGTTTTGGTATCTCACATGAACATTCCTAGAGAGAGGTATACTACTATTCTAGATAGTGTGCTGGTGTGAAAAAACTGCAGTACCTTGTTGAGATGACAGGAGGAGTGCTTGAGCTCCTGCAGCAGCTGACAGTCCAGCCGGTCCAGCAGGTTGCAGTCCTTATATGGGAAGTTGGTTTTCCTCAGAAGCCACTCCAGGGATCGGGTTACGTCCCTGCCGCCGTAGTCCAGCCATAGTCTGGGGATGGAACAACAGATTCACACCCTAGAAAACCCACAAACATACCAACAAACAAACACAGTTGCAAACACACACACACATGAACAGTTAAACACACACACACACACAAAGCCACTCCCTGCCTCATTAGTCCAGCCATAGTCTGTACAGAGAACAACACATGAACACCCAAGTACACCCACACCCACACTCACACACACACACACACACAGGCACACACACACACTCACACACACAAACACACACACACACACACTCACACACACACACACACATACACACACACACCTACACACACACACACACACACACACATCCACACAAAGCTACTCCAGGCATTACGTTACGTCCCTGCCACCGTAGTCCAGCCATAGTCTAAGGAAACAACAACAGCTTAGCACCCAGGTACACCCATCCTTACATCCATCCATCCATCTGTACTGACCTTGAGTTTCTGTAGGAGAGTCCGTCCTCCACGCAGCACACGGCTGTTTTCTGGTCCCCGACGTCCACCACACAGGCGCTGGCCACACCGCTGCCGAACGTCGCACATACAGACTCCTGTACAAACACACATAACCTTTGACCTGTAACCTCTGACCCACCACACAGGCGCTGGCCACACCGCTGCCAAACGTTGCACAGACCGACTCCTGTAACCATAAGAACTTATATCTAACTTTTAACCTCTAACCTATAACATGACGTGACATGCCACATAACCTTTACCTATAATCTCTGACCCACCACACAGGCGCTGGCCACACTGCTGCCGAAGGTCGCACACACAGACTCCTGCACAAACACACATAACCTTTGACCTGTAACCTCTGACCCAAACAGGTGCTGGCCAGGCTGCTGCAAAACTTTGCACTTCTGTTACCACACAGAAACTTTTAACCTTTAACCCATGTTGAAGAATTGGTACAGTTATTGATTGATTGATTGATTGATTGATTGATTGATTGATTGATTGATTGATTGATTGATTGATTGCCAGCCCACCTGATGTGCAATGGCAGCAGAAAAGCCCAGCCTGTTCAGTAGCAGATTGATCAGTTCCTTGATGTGTTGTCTGTTGTAGATATCTGGGACAAGCAGGATGCATCTGTAGTGCTAAACAAACAAACAAACAAACAAACAAACAAATCTTAAATGACAGGTGTGACAGGCTGAATAAAAGTTCTAAACAGGAACTATGTGGCTCCAGGTGTCTTACTGAGGGACGACTGCGTGTGCGAGATGTCGGTTAGCTTGAGGAATGAATCCCCTCTACTAAGTACTATATACTGCAAACAAATTTTAAATGAATGTACAAATAAATGGACAAATGAATGAACTACCTGGAAGGGTAACATTTGCAGAGCAAATGCATAATGTTTACCCTCACATGGTCTAGCCCAACTAACTACTGCTCTGTTTATTCTTACTCAAACACATCTAAAAATATATTGTGACCAGTTCCTCCAACTCTGTCCTGCCACTTACTACATCATTGCTTGAATACAGCACCAGTTACCATGGTGTTAGCCCTGGTCCAGGTCATTGACCATAAAAAAATTGTGTAAGAAAAACAAGAATAAATTATTAATGAAGCAAAAAAATGTTTTCCTAGTGAAAAGGGAAACAAATGAGTGAATGAATGAATGAATGAATGAGCAAATGAATGAATGAATGACTGAATGAATGAATGACTGAATGAATGAATGAACGAACAAATGAATGAATAAACAAATGAATGAATAAAGAATGAATGAATGAGCAAATGAATGAACAACAAAAACAGAGCCCCTACTTTCAGGTCCTTGACAGGAATGTCCAGGAACTTCTCGATGGCCGTGGTCCATATGGTCTCGAGGTCTGCCAGAACTGCTGTGAGAGACCCTCCTGTGCCGCTGTGCAGGTTCAGCTGACCACACGACATCGGCCAGTGGACGTTATAGCTCTCCGAGGGGTGAAGGTATAGGACCTGGGGGGGGGGGACAGAAGACCGACACTGTTACGCCAAGAAAACAGTTACTACAGCAACTGGATATGATTTTGGAAACGGTCAGACGTTTCAGCTAGTATCCACTGCCTTTCCTCAGTGTCACACTTGAGACGTCTAACCGTTTCCAAAATCATATCCAGTTGCTTGAGTAACTGTTTTTTTGGCGTATCTTATTACCTGGATGTCTAAGACTTCACAGACAGACACTATCCAGAACCATGCCAATTTAGTTCTACATGTATGCCAGAATGGGTGAGGGTTAGAATCAGGTACAGTTCTGGATAGTATTCAAGAACGTAGATTCACCCCACGAATGGTTCTGGACACGGATGGATAATCCAGAATCGTGCCTGTCTAGTCCTATGCTTGAAAATGTTAGGGTTAGGATCAGGCACAGTTCTGGGTAGTCTCTGTGTATCCAAAAACATACATATACAAATATACAAATAAAGAATTGAATTGTTTTCCCGTACTTCCTGTCCCACTAAGTACTGAGGTTTGAAGCTGGTTTATAAAGTTGTTATAAAGTAGGGAGAATGCTTAGGACTTTTTGTACCTCCTGCCCTGAATGGGTTAGGGTTAGGATCACACATGGTTCTGGATAGTCTCTGTGTTGATTTTGGTATACATTATAAGAAAAACTTCAATTATTTTCGCACCTCCTGTCCCACTAAGTACTGGGGTTTTGAGCTGGTGTCCGTCCACTCCAGATCTGACGTGTCCTCGATCTGAGGACCAACCTGCGCATTGTAGGCTGCAAGCTGAAACAACAAAACAGAGGTTAGAAACAAGCAACAAAGAATCAGAAATTTCAAACTTCCGGAAAGAAAGTTTGTCAAAGCAAGTCAATCAAGTAAAATCCAATCTTTATCCATTTATTGTAGCCTCTACCAGGCTTTGAGAAGAGGCTGGAAAGAGTAGAAATTGGCCAAATAGACAACCTGTTCTGTGGGCGGGGCCAGTCTGTGTTGCCCGGACGACGAGATGATTGACAGCTTACCTGTTCTGTGGGTGGGGCCAGTCTGTGTTGCCCTGATGACGTGATGATTGACATCAGGGCCTGTTGCACTCCTCTCAGGCCCTGCTCATGGACAGCTCTGCTCTCAGTTTGCTGTAGACCACACAAAAATATAACTTTGACAGATATTTTAGTTAAGTCTTTATTTCTGTATCTGTATAGCTGGTATAACCGCCTTTCGGCGTAACACACCAGCTTCGCAGGCACGCGGCGCGGCGGCAGCTGGCTACATTACACCGATCAACTTGTTACACCTAACCCTTGAACATCTAACTCTAGACATTGTTTAAAGCTATCTAATGTCATGACAATGCCCCTACTGTACTTGGTGACAGCGAGTTCCACTCTGCGATAGTTCTAGGAAAGAATGAATTCTTGAACACCTCAACCCTTGGTTGATAACTCTGGTACTTGAATGCATGGCTATTTCTTGTTCTCTTCAGGGCTGGTACTTAGTAGTTGAGACGTCCACCAGTTCATTAGTCATTTTGTACATCATGCATAGTCTGGACATTTTTCTTTTCTTTCATAACTTTGAATCCATAAAAACTGAAAATGAGTCTTACACAAGCCTCGTGCCTGAGCAGTGTCCTGTCCTCGTGTTTCCCCGCAGTGTCAGGCTTGCAGCAGCGCCGCCTAGCAATCACCTGTGGTATGACATGCAGGAACATTAGCTATCATCAAATCACAATACTGGTATATTTATGGTTACAACTAGGTTTTTATCATTTGTGTAATATTTCAATCATATCAATTTTTAGCATGTCACCACATTATATGTACTATAATTCAATTAATGGTAACTTATTGCTTTTTATCGTTAATCTGTTGAATTTCAGACTGCTGTAAAATTCTCCTGCGATGTTGTTTTTTTGTTGTTTGGTTCGTTAATTTTTCTTTGTCATTGTGAACTGTTTGGTTAAAGCACCTACATGTAGTAGCTTATGATATCTTTTTTCCGTTACTGTAATTCACTTTATGTTCACGGTAGCAAAAGTTGACGGTCTGAGAAAAATGGACACTATATATTCACGGTGACGACAGGTGCAGGAAAAAGAAAGTCCAGGAATAATTTGTTAACTGTAATGATAAGTTCACGGTACAGAAGTGACAGTGAAAACAGTGAACATAAAAGTACCCTGAAAAAAAATCAGGAATTACAGTAGTTTCTTGCGAGTAAATAAGCAAAAAACAAACAGACCTGCGGAATGACATGCGGGAAGGTGTCTGAAGCCCGGCCTATCCGCAGGAAGGAAGAACCCGGGTGGAGAACGATCACTGATGTGCCCTGGACTGGCTGCTGAGGAAAAAATTAGATTTTTAAAAAATATACTCGTAATTCTGTAAAATCCCTATGAATTCTTTGGCACCCCTGCTCAAGTTATTGCAATACCTGAAACAACCCGTAATTTTTCACTGTATGTTTTTTAGACCATGTGCATGTATGCCTCTACATGTAAGGATAAAGGTAGCCTCCATAGCATGCCAAAAACTGGGAGTTTTGGGGGTCTTCAGGGTCTTTGGGATCTTTTATGTGCTATGTTCTGATTGCATATAGACAACATAGCCGGCCTGGTTGAATTACCCCCGTTTTTTTTTAGAACTGGGCTAATCAGAAAACAGCCGGAGACCACCAAACCCCCAGTTCTATAATCCTGCTACGGAGGCTAGGATAAAGGTACATGTATATACATGTAGGATTGCACTATTATGTAGAGTATGTGACCTGTATGTTGTTACATTTTGTCTGACACTGACCTCTTCCCTCATAACTTCAATTAAAAGCTTCACATTCAACAAAATCACATTTTAACTCATCACATATTTAACTCACAAGAATGATATTTAACTCAGAACAAGACAATGTAACAAAAGTTGGAACACAACATTTATTCTTCATGAAAAAAAATCTCAGTTGCAAACTGCTGACAGAATATAACTTGAAATCACCAAGTATTTCCACCTGTAAAATTACATTTACCTGACAAACAAATCTGCACTGAATCATAGCTATGGACTAAAACTACCCCAGTAGTCACCATTTAGAATGCATTTAAATTCTTGATATAACATTTCACAGGTACGTTGATGAAGGTTAGACATCCAGGTAAACAATACTTCATATGTAATTATGGTTAATGAAGTACGTACATACAAACACTCATATCCCCAGTACAAGGCTGACTACAAAAATCAAATTCTACCTGCACTAACCTGCATGTGTAAGTCAGGTTTCAAGCCTGAAATGTGTCACATATGCAGCAAACATAGTACGAATCAAACATCAACAAAGCCCACATTTAATATCCTTTAAGTTAAATACCAAGTACAATATAGAGACCCTGAGCATACTTTCCTCAGGCACACTACTTTGAAGCTAGGACCACACCAATTTAATTTGTTGTTTCTATCATTTAAAAATACCTGACCACACCAATTTAATTTGTTGTTTCTATCATTTAAAAAGAAACAAGCTCAACCAGCTAGGTTTATGCCTTGGTTCACTTGAGCGAATACAGTCATGATACATGTATTTACGTTTTGCTCCCTGCCCTCTGCTTTTCTGATGTCTGCTTGCTGTATTTTCATCTTAAAATGAGAACCAAGGAAATGAATTGGTGTGGCCTTAGGATATCTGTTGATATGTTTAATATAATATGCATTTTAATTTGTTGCTGTGTCAATAAAGATTTCTGTGTCCATAACTTCATGGTGTTGTACATTACTTTCAGCATGATCCCATCTAACACACAAATCTATATCCCATATTTCCTGAGAAATCTATACAGAAAAATAGGCAGAGTTCCTCCACATTTCTCGCTTATTCACTAGTCAACTCTCAGTAGCAGTGTGATAGTTTCTGTTCAACCTTCTCCCTGCTGCCTAACCCCACAACTATTGCAAATTTGCTGCTATTAAAGTGGCTACCTTAGCAGGCTGAGGGTTAACTAGAACACATAGTACATGTCCTGCTGATATCCCAGCTCTCGCAGAACTTTCACTGCTGCCTGGTCAAATGCCACCGGTCCGCACACCATCACCATGGTTACCGGTCCCGGCGCGGGCAGGTCGCCCTCCACGACCTCTGACCTGACCCGACCCGACCTCCCGCTCCACTCTGACCCGGGGTCGGACAGCACGTGGACGACCTTTAACCTCCCCGCGTACCGCTGTTCCAGTTTTTCGAACTGTTCGCGCCACAGGATGTCTCTCTCTTGTTTGTTGAAGAAAAAAATTGTGATCTTGACTTTGTCAAATTTCTGATCTGAAAGAAGTTGGGTTGCGAGACCGGGTACGGGCGTAAAACCGGTTCCGGGGACTAGGAAGGCGACGGAGGTTTTGTCGTCCAATGGCGGGAGAGCGAGGGTTGCGTCGTAGTCGCTGATGTCCAGGTGATCCCCGGGCTACAGCTCGGCCAGCACAGGTGTGAGGACACCTTGTGGGTACACCTGAGGTGGGAGAAATAGTTATTTACTTTAATTGAAGAGATTCCTTTGTCATGTATAGATACAGTTACTAGAGAGAATTCTTTCAACAGTGAGGGAGGCAACAGGGGTTAGGGCCCAGCAGACAGATGCAAGTTTCGGGCCTAGTCTTGTGAGAGTGTGAGACTTGGCCATTCCGTGAACAAGATGGACTGATAGTCATCAAAAATTTTGAGGTCAGTATCCTTACCCTGCAAACTTGTCACTGTTGAAAGAATTCTCTAGTAACCCTAGACTCCTGCAAGGGACAAAATTTTCCGAAATTTTTTTCAGGACTGAAACAGGAAACACAACATTTTTTTCCTAGGCATTACACTGACCTTGATCATGAGGTTCAGGCCCATGCCGTGTGAGTCCACCTGTGCAGGTGTGCTGAGTGAGGCCGGTACAGGTGTGTACGGCCGTGACACCTGTCCGTAACCCGACACCAGGCGTCGCAGGTACACGTGATGACCTGCGGGGACCCACATCCGCGACCCCAGTGGCAGTCGTACGCGAAACAACGTCGTGTCATAGGTCACCTCCGCTCGAGACTCGATCGTACAAGCCCGGTACCTCCGCTCGCATTCCTCTGTACAGACTAACCTAAATACACAAACACATCGGGACAGAGAACATTTAAGCAGAGGAATTAAGCAGAACTATTTATTGTTGTTTTTCTATGTCATATGTCCAGGTATGTGTTGGGTGTGCACGCTATCAACATACTTGCTGCCTAGTGCACACTTTGTATTGTCATGTTGCAATTTTGAGTAAATAAAATAAATAATAAAAAAAGCAGAGGAATATTTTATGATTATATAAATTTTGACAATGTGTAATAATGTGCAATAATGTTTTTAACAATAATACAAATGTACATTTTGATACATCTGTACAACTCCAGTCAAGGAATGAGCAATCCACTGCTTCCGCGACGTCACGCAGATAACACACGTGACTCTGTGAGCAGTGGATCATAGGTTGCAGAAAGTCTGTGGCGCCCCCCGTCTCTGTTCAGGGATGGTTGTAATGCCCTGGATTGTTTGAATTCATTCCTTGACAAAGACTGGAGTTGTACAGTCAAAAATTTGGTTGAGCAACTTGAGTCCAATTTCTTGTGTTGGAAATTACAGTTTAAACTTGCTGCATAATGACTTCTACCAACACAGATGAACTTTTAAGTTAAAATAGATAAATAGAACTAACCTTCCATCCTGATCTAGAGGACTCCCCAACCTCCTCCACTTCCTTCCTGCCGTAACTTTTGTCAGCCTGACGTCAAGTTTAGACCCTGAAGCTCCAAACGTTACGCTAAACTCATCGGTAACTTCTTCCTCTAACTCCACATGGACTTGATACACCTGTTGCTGGCCGAGGAAGAGGCGCAGTTCGAACTCGCGGCCGGTTTTGTCCAGGATGACATTCTCGCGAGTCAAGCCCTTCCGTTTCGTGTAGACGCAAACAGTGACGTGTTTGTCGCTCTGGAACCAGTCGTAGCGTACGGATTCCCTCGCAAAAGTCGGGGCAGGAACGACAGGGCTCTCAACTGTTAGCACAGGAACACCCGGACTGTCCACAGCATCTCTCTTGTCGGTGGGTACTTCTGGTTGACAGAACAGATTCAGATTCAGCTTTATTGATATTGGCATGACGTGTTCGATAAAATTCAAAACATGAATTGAGCCAACATTTACAATTATTACTATGTTTAAAATACACAGAGCAGATCTATAAAAATTCAAAATCTACATTTGAAAATGCGATTTAAAAACACTTTACACGGACAATATATATTATGTCTTCAAAGAGCAACTATTCATATATGAATATAAAACGACTCACGAATAATGTCACACATACCTGTTTCCTGTACTGATTCAGGATTGGGAAGGGGTGGTTTCGAAGGTTCTGGGCTTGTCGGCCAGGGATTGTCCACGGTATCAGCAGAACTGACAGGTCTCCCACCGGCGTTTTCCAGTTTCTGCTGCTCACTTGGTGTTACAGATGTTACCGGTCTCCCATCAGAGTTTTCTTTGAGTTTCTCTTCAAAAGCAGCACCTGGTGGTTTGGGAAGAGTCAGGTTTGCAGGAAGTGGAGGCTTCAGAAATCCTGTCTGTACTTTGGGTGGTTTTCGCTTTGGTGTTCCTGTGTGAATAATGAATGAGTGAGTGAGTGAGTGAATGAATGAATGTGGATTCCATTATACATATTTAAAAGTATCATTCATTTATAATATAATATAAAACTAGGGGGCTCAAACTCATGTCACATCATCCCTAGCACAAGAGCTATCTACCATCTAAATTTCGTTACCCTAGCATGTCTGGATCATAAGATATCAAAACCGGAAGTTCAGCTTCAGTACCATGACAAGCCGTTAGGGGGCCCAAAATCTAATCAGTTCCACGTCTCATGAAGACCTACCCACCTACCAAATATCAAGATAATCCATCTAAGCTTTCTCAAGTTATGCTGTTGACACACAGACTGACACACGGCCAGGAAAACATAACCTTCATCAATTCTTGGCGAAGGTAACAAATCATTACCTGTGACGTGAAGAGTCGTCCGCAGCCGCCCTACCAGGCAGCTTTCCAGCATGGACTCGTAGTTGACCCAGCGGTGGACCTCGTTGAACAGATCCGTCCCGTCCCTCCCCGCGGCCCGCATGAGCTCTTCCGCCCCGCCGGGGTGGTATTCTGCGTACGCGGTGACGTTGTACACCTTCCCGCGAATCGCCGTCCACGCATCACTCTCCGTATCGTGTTTCGCTAGCTCCTCGGGCGTGACGTTCTGTAAGCGACCCCCGGTTCCGGAGAGGTCGCGCGACTTTGAGAGCCGGATCCAGTCCATGAGTGACCTTCCCGGCTTCAGCGCGACCTTGTTACGCCCCCCTCCCACGCGCTGAGCGGACGAAGGCGCCGGAAACTGCGGAACGCCGAGGTTCCCACTCATGTTGTCGTTAGTTACGTCGTGCGTTGCCAAGGTTACGGTACAGCCGACACGTCCGCAGCCCATTGGCTGACCTCAGCAGACCTGGGGGGCAGAGGGTAAAGGTCAGACCCGGCTCAAAATTGATATGATACATTATAAATATAAATTATTTTCATTTCATTCAATTTTGAGCTGGGGCCTGACTAACTTGTGCCTCTGCCCTGGCCCCACCCAAAATTATAGTACTAGTTTTTTTACTACTTTATTTATTATCTATCTATAAAGATTCTCCACATACATAACTAAATATTATGAACGGTATGGTGGAACAGGTGTTCTTGTTACTTGTTAGGACACCTTTTCAAAGCCACCATACAACGCTCATACGTTTACATAGATCTGCAGTAACTTCTAAATTTGTTAGCCCAAGGACATTATACTACAGTATATACTGTATAAATATTTTATGTCCTTGGTTTGCCTTATCATCAACCTGTAGCCTGCGTGCCAAACCTATACTATAGTTTATGTCCAGTGTGCTATGGGTTTGGAACCCAGGCTATCAACCTGTAGCCTGGTAAAGTTTAAGAAGTGGGGAGGGGGGCGGTTTTGACTGCAGCTAACAGTTACATATATGTGTGATGAGTTAAGAGCGTTCCCATCCCGCTAGTTAGCCGAAAGTTTAGTTCAGGACTCACCTCTGGCGCAGTGTCTTGTCCCGCCGATCCAAGAGACGGGCTCATCCGCTTCTCCTTCTGTAGTTTCGGCGGGGTGGGAACCATATCACTGACCGCTCAACTTCCGGGCACAAAATCACCCAACTAACCACGTTTTTTTCACAACCCAACAGCTCTTAACAAGCTCCAAAACACTCCTAAGAAGCTTCAGAACCTTCACAAAGTCATTTAAGCCTCATCTAAACGTTATTTCGGCAAATATTTGACCTTTTTGGCGCTAGTTCTTTTGGTAGTAAAAATCTGCGAGAGGAAAAGTTGACCTTTGTTACAGAATCGTGACGTCACTTCCTCCTGCAGTGACCCCAACCGGGGATAACGGAAGTGACGTCATCGGCACCTACCAATGAACATTAGGGGGTGTCTGGGTGAGGGGGTTGGTCAAATACTAGAAGTTCATATTGCTGCATATAATAATATGTGTATAACGTGTTTAAAATCAATTTTGATTTCAAACCTGCTTGTAGTCATGTGTTTTAAGGGTTTTCGCAGTTGGTGTTTGGATTCTTATAAGAGTGTGTATTCTCTAGTACACGAAAATGTTGTGCAAATCATCTGTCACTAGCACTAGATGCAGAAAAGAAGTCTCTTTACTACCAGTACTGCTCCTGTTGTTTTATCTATTGACCACTAGTATTACCCTGGTCCTGGGTCGGGGTTCGAACCCACGACCTCCCGAGCTCCAGCTTCAAAATCCGACGCTCTAACCATTTGGCTAAAAGGTCTAGACCCTTCAGCTGGGTCAGTTGGTAGCACCTATAAACCCCCCACCATTACAGTTACTCTACTCTCATGGTTGATTTTGTATTGTTGATCTCTGTACCCTTGATACTCTCTTGTTTACATGTATGTTCACATAAGTCCACATGGGCGGGGCGCATTAGGCCAAGGACACATTAATAAAGTGTTCTTCATTCATTCATTCATTTCTTCCTTCATTCTTCCTTCATTTCTTCCTTTATTCATTACCTTTATTCATTTCCTTTATTCATTTCTTCATTCATTCATTCCTTTATTCATTTCTTCCTTCATTACTTCCTTTATTCAATTCTTCATTCATTCATTCATTCATTTTTTCAATCATTTTTTCCTACAGTCATTTCTTCATTCATTCATTCAAACACAGGCAGAGTATGAGTTCATACTTCCAGGTTTTATTTCCACATAGAAACATATGGTGATACATAACATAACATAACATAACATAACATAACATAACAATGGCCAATACTTTTAGATACTAGCCCATTGGACAATTGTTGCCCTGAAGAAGGTGACAGACAGTCACCGACAAGTTGGAAATAAAATCCCACTGTTTTTTTAATAAAGAACCTTCTAATACAGCTTCTAATATACCTTCTAATACAAGAAAAAAGTCAGTAGATCTATCCCAGCAAGGTCTTCTTTGTTTTCATATCTAGAACTGATTTTACTGCTGTTTTTTTTTTTGTTTTTGTTTTTTTTTTTGTTTCCCTGTTTCACTTTTTCCCTTTCTTGGTTTTCTTCCCCTTGGGTGCATATCGCGCCTCCAGGTCAGCCATGAAGTTGTTAAACTGACTCTCTCTGTTCTGGCTTCTCTGAGCGATCATTTTCTGCAGCACGTCCTCCGAACCGTCCATGCCCAGTTCTTTCATCGCTGATTCCGCCTCCTTTGCTTCCTTCTTAGCCTGGAGGTGGGAGGAAAAATGTGATTGACATCATCAAAAATTGAGCATGGACAAAAAAGTGAATGAAATGGAAATTTTGAGCACAAAAAGTTGTGATGACATTAAAAAATGAAGCACAAATGAAGTTGTCATGTCATCAAATAAATGCAACACATAAATCAATAACTGAGCAAAAAAAATTTGAGCACAAAAAGTTGTGCAACTGTCCTGCAACATGCTACATAATGTAACCTAACACCATAGGGTGTCTGCTAAAGCACCAGTTACCATGGTGACAGACATCTGGTCAAGGTCATCAAACTTATTTGTTTGGAGACAAAGAACAAAAACTACAGTATAGGTTTTCCTTCTACAAAGGTGAAGTTGACTTCTGATGTAATAATAAACAAAAACAAACAAACAAACATGTCCCAACATGCCTTGCATTTCCTGCGTTGCTGCTTGCTCCTGTCCTCCTGAGAGAATGCTGGGAAGTTTGGCAGGTCACCTGACCTGATCTGACCAATCAGCAGCTTGCGGAAGCGCGGCTCGTCCTCGAGCGTTGCCAGGGTAACGGCGTCCATGATGTCATCCATGTCGCCCTCGTGCTCCAGGTACGCAGACTTCAGGTCAGCAAGCTCCTCTTCTGAACCTGGGGAGGGGAATATTTTATACCTTACCTTAGACTGTAGTATAAACATTTTATATATTCATTTATTCATTCTATTTTACCAACAGATCAGAAATTTACACTCAAGTTATCTGGCACGTATGACCCGCTACTACGGTCACGTGTCTCTGACGTCACGTTCCAAGAGTAGACGGGCCCATTCCGTGAACAAGGTTGATGGAGTCAGCTGAAAATTTGTACATGTAGTTAGAGCTGGAAGTTAAAGCTTAGTCTTTATTTCAGAATCATCTTCAGTCAGTTTCTACTGATCCTACAGATATGAAAGTTATCTTTGATAAAATCATTGTTTGTGTTGGAACAAAAATTTTAACTTTAAACGGGTCACCAAAACATTGGCTGAATATCTAGTGTCTCTTTACTAGATACCAGTTCTTACCCTTGTAATTCTTCTCGAAGTCTTTCACAGCCTGTAGAGTGACTTGTGGGAACAACAGTCTCCAGTAGGAAGCCCAGTCTTTATCCTCATCCACATCAACTTCATCATCTACTTCTCCTGGAACATAAACAACAAACAATAAACAACAACAATGTTACACATGTGACAACAGCAGTCACCAGGATGAAGTAGACTTCACTGAGAACCTGGAACTTACCAGTTTGAGTGGTTCAAACCTTACAGTCCGGTCTGTTACACAGCTTGCACTTACTGTACAAAACCTAGCTTCCACCAGGCCTTTCTACGGGAATACGGATCGTAGAATTCGGCAATGAAGAGAGTAAAATATAGCCAGCGTAGTTAGTCTGGTAGAGACTATGAGAAACAAACAAACAAAGCTCACCACTTTCATCATACAGCGCCCTTTTCCCAGTGTCAGACAGGACAGAGTAGACTTTACTCAGAGCCTGGAACTTTTCTGTGGACTGGGCGTCGTCTGAGTTTCTGTCAGGGTGGAATCTCATCGACATGCGGTAGTACCCTTTCTTCACTGGAACAACAAATGTAATTTAAAGTTATATATGTAAGGATGTCCAGACTATGCATGATGTACAGAATGACTAATAAACTGGTGGACGTCCCAATTACTAAGTAAATAATACCAGCCCAGACGAGAACAAGGAATACTAGTAGCCATGCCTTCAAGTACCAGAGTTATCAACCAAGGATTGAAGTGTTCAAGAATTCATTCTTTCCTAGAACTATCACAGAGTGGAACTCGCTGTCACCAAGTACAGTAGGGGCATGTCATTAGATAGCTTTAAACAAAATGTCTAGTGTTAGATGTTCAAGGTTTAGGTTTCACAAGTCGTTCAGTGTAATATAGCCAGCTGCTACTAATCGACTGAGCGATAGCAACCGAATTCGAATATAGGATCAAGATTTTATATTTTGGCAGGTGCCCCCCTCCCCACATCGCCCGTCTTACCCTGTTTCTCCGTCGCAGTTCTCTCCACTCCTATGACCTTGTAGAGGTCACGGGTGCTGAACAGGTCCTCACAGGTCTGGAGAAGTCCCGGCATGGCGCAGGTGTGCCCAGGTAAGAAGATACAAGGCGATTTCTGAAGGGTTTCTTTCTCGATCTTCGCTCTATTTACACTGCGCTGTGATTGGTTAAATCCTGCATGACGTCATTACCCCTTTAAATATGAATGCCAGCCAGGCTAATCACCATTGCGATCATTGGAAGCCTCCGCTACGCCAGCTTGGAGCGACGTGCTAGTGCCGGGCGTGCCCTCCCAGCCCTCCCACGTTCTACAGCACCGGTCTTCGGTTTGGGTGTCGGTGTCTTCCTGGCGAGTCCAGCAGTTTGGAGGCTTCCACGACGACTCCTTCGGTTTGGAGGCGTGCAGAACGGTTTTTGCTGTCGTTTTGTGTCCACGGGTTTTTGTTTGTTTTCCCGAGTTGGTAACATTTTGTTTTTGGAGGGAATGCGTTGCACGTGGTATTGCATTTGTTACTAACTGGTTTTGGGAAGTGAGCTTGGCAGATGAATGTCGTTTTTTTTTCTTTGCTGCACTCTTGAACTTTTAAGTGGGTAAAATAAGAGATATGTGGTGTCTGTTTGACGTGTACGTGTTTCTGTTTTTAAGATAACGTCGCAGATTCGTATACTTCCCGCACCAGCTGTGTAGAATCCAGGACAATGGCGACAGCTGTAACTTCAACAGGACCAGCGGACGCACCTCGAAAACACCTCCTACCCGGTACAGGCGGACTGGTTTTGGTCGCTGACGTTAGAGAAGCAGAGGCCTGTTCCTGAGTTCCTGAAAGAGAAGGTTTGGGTAGTGTGAAGTACAGGGCGTGGTTTGCTTTTCTTTTCCGACAGTTTTTGTGTGGGTTGTCTGTAAGAATGTTGGCGGCAGTCTCGCACCTGGGTCATTTGCATTTGAATGCGTGGGTGTCTGTTTGAGCCAGAATTGATTATTAGTAGTTTGTTCTTTTCAGGGTTTCATTTCTTAGTTTTCGAGGGTGGTTTTAGCCTTTTTGTAAAATTAGCAGGGGAGGTTTCCCGAGCGGTGTTCCTTCGGCTTCGTGCCCATTAAGATCGTGTTGCGGGTTGCCCTCGCGGTGGAGGCGCGCTCGGGCGGGTAGTGTGGTAGTAGTGTGAAAGGTTTTCACGAGGTTAAGAAATTGCAGGTTAATAAGCAATGTCGTTTGCCCTTGCAGTTATAGCAGCACAACAACCTCCTTTCCCAAGCGGTCAAGATGTGGGAAGGCAGCAGCAGATCCCACAACCTCAGTATCCGGTACAGCAACGGGCACCTACCACATTTTGCAGCCGTGATCTTCGGCCCGGGCTACGGTGACATCCCTAACGAGTCCAACAGTCTGGGGGTTTCTTGGCCACTCCATTGGGTTGCGGAACGATTTTGGTGTCGTTTCCGTTGTTTGATTTTCAGTTTTCCAGAGTTTTGGTAAATCGTTTTGTCATTTTGGCGGGAGCGTGTTGCACGTGGTACATTTGCATTTGAAATAAATTGGTCCCGGGTGGTGACTTTGGCAGATAAGCGTTTCTTTGTTTGTCAGGAGGGTTGGAAACTCGAGTGCTAAAGCCTCCGGTACTTTGTACCCTTAGATCATGGAGTGGTGATGCCCTCATGGTGTTGGCACATTCGAGTGGGTAGTTAAAATATAGTTGGTATCTCTGCGTGACGTGTATGTGTTTGTGTTTTAAAGGTGATGTCGCAGACTACAAGACTACCCGAGCCATCTTCAGCAAGGACCAACACCAGGGAGACCCGTCACTCCAGTAAGGCCCTACTCCAGCAGGACCAACACCAGCGGGGTTTTATACAGCGCAACGTTTCTCGGGCGATGTCGTAGACTCCAAGACTACCCGCGCCAGCAGTGCAGCACCCAGGACAACGGCGACAGTTGACTCTTTAGCAAGGACCAACACCAGGGAAACCTCTCACTCCAGCAGGTCCTACTCCAGCAGGACCAACACCAGCAGTGTTTACGGCGCAACATGTCCAGGGTAGGTGGAAACACATCTTTGTTTTTGATGCGTCGCATGTAAATTGATCGTCGATGTTGTCATGTGAGTGTCTCTTATGCACATTCCACGTGCAGGCACTCAATGGCAAGCAGTCGGACGGGTCTAACTTGATCGTCGATGTTGTCATGTGAGTGTCTCTTATGCACATTCCATGTGCAGACACTCAGTGGCAAGCAGTCGGACGGATCCAAACATGGCGAGCGCTAATATGTTGTTGCGTCGCATGTAAATTGATCGTCGATGTTGTCATGTGAGTGTCTCTTATGCACATTCCACGTGCAGGCACTCAGTGGCAAGCAGTCGACGGATCCAATATGGTCGAGCGCTGATATGTTGTTGCGTCGCATGTAAATTGATCGTCGATGTTGTCATGTGAGTGTCTCTTATGCACATTCCACGTGCAGACACTCAGTGGCAAGCAGTCGGACGGACTTTAACATGGCGAGCGCTAATGTGTTGTTGCGTCGCATGTAATGATCGTCGATGTTGTCATGTGAGTGTCTCTTATGCAACTTGCATGTGCAGACACTCAGTGACAAGCAGTCGGACGGATTTTAACATGGCGAGCACTGATGTGTTGTTGCGTCGCATGTGAATTGATCGTCGATGTTGTCATGTGAGTGTCTCTTATGCAACTTGCATGTGCAGACACTCAGTGACAAGCAGTCGGACGGATCCAAACATGGCGAGCGCTGATATGTTGTTGCGTCGCATGTAAATTGATCGTCGATGTTGTCATGTGAGTGTCTCTTATGCAAGTTGCATGTGCAGACACTCAGTGACAAGCAGTCGGACGGATTTTAACATGGCGAGCGCTGATGTGTTGTTGCGTCGCTAGTAAATTGATCGTCGATGTTGTTATGTGAGTGTCTCTTATGCAAATTGCATGTGCAGACACTCAGTGACATGTAGTCGGACGGATCCAAACATGGCGAGCACTGATGTGTTGTTCCGTCGCATGTAAAGTACGTAATCGTCGATGTTGTCATGTGAGTGTCTAGTATGCGCAGTCTACGTGTAGGTACCCAGTGGCAGACAGTCGGACGGATCTAGACATGGCGAGCTCTTATGTTTTTGCGTCGCATGTAAATTGATCGTCGGTATTGTCATGTGAGTGTTTCTCTGATACATTAAGTGTCCAGACACTCAGTGGCAGACAGTCGGGCGGACCTAGACATGGCGAGCTCACATGTTTTCTTGCGTCGCATGTAAGGTGATCGTCGGTATTGTCATGTGAGTGTCTTGGTGGTACTTTCCACGTACAGACGAGTGCTGATGTTTTTGTTGCGTCCCATGTTAAGTGGTCGTCGATATTTTGTCATGTGAGTGTCTCTTTAATACATGAATGTGCAGAAACTCAGTGGCAGACAGTCGGACGGATCCAAATAGGGCGAGCGCTGATGTCTTATGCAGCGCATGTAAAGTGATCGTAGGTGGTTTTATTGTGTTTCTTAGCACATTCCGCGTGCAGGCACTCGTGGCATCACGTGCACGGTTAAGTGATTGTCTAAGTTGTCGCGCGTGACTGTCTCCTTGGGACGTTCCACACGTGGGTGTTCGGTCGCAGATAGACGGATGCATACATGACGGGTGTTGATACATGTGTTGCGTCACAGGTAGTGAGTGTCGAGTTGTCGTATGGGTGCCCTTTTGGTCTCCTTCTTAGTTTGGGCACTCAGTGGTGGTTAGGCTACCTGTTGTGTTTCGCACTTTATGATTGTCGATGAACACCGTTTAATGAAACAGATCTACTCATCGGAAGGTTGGGTTTGCCTCTGTACAGGAATTCGAGGCGATGAGATTTTACCTCGTTGACAATTGAGAGGTTAATGAGGAAGAGATGAGATTAGAGTTGGACTAATCCAACTGGCTAGTGGACCTCCGGTGATTTTTGAATTTTGCTCTACTAGGGATTTATTCAGAGAGAGACAAGCGTCAAACCCACCCTAAGCCAGAAGCTCGATTCACATTAGTCAGGAGAGTGTGGGTAGCAGTGGATGGGGACAATAACGAGCTCCGGGGTCTAAAACCGGTTTCATGTTACAAAATAGGATTCCGGAGGATTAGGCCAACACGAGTTTAAACGAAAGACACTTTACAGTTGTACACTGTAACTTGTGTTGTGAATGCAATTTGTTTGCATAGGAAAATCGTGTAGATAAATTATTTGATAAAGCCAGCTCAGTTGGGTGTGCTCTTCCGAGAAGAAGAGATGTAAGTTTAGGCTTTGGGAGGTATAGATAAGATTGGGATGAGAATGGGATGAGAATGGGATGAGTATGGGGATGAGTATGGGGATGGTTATAAGAAGAGAAGAGAAGGGAAAGTTACTAGTACTATATTAAGACTTATAGTAAGGGTAACCAGGCTGGGACGTCGCGACGCAGGCACTGCCCCATAACTCATAAAAGGATGTACCAATGACTGCGCAGTGTGAATAGTGAACTATTTACACTGCGCTGTGATTGGTTAAATCCTGCATGACGTCATTACCCCTTTAAATATGAATGCCAGCCAGGCTAATCACCATTGCGATCATTGGAAGCATCCGCAACGCCGAAGGAGCGTGGTGTTAGGTCAGTCCCAGGGAGTGGGTGGGGAAGGGTTTAGCCCTTCTTGTTTGGGGAAGTTTTTCGCTGCCCCCCCACCCACCCCGTTTTCCTATAATTCATATAGTGGGACTCGGCCTCGCCGCGCGACTCCGGCACTGCCCCATAACTCATAAAGGATGTACCAATGACTGCGCAGTGTGAATAGTGAACTTTTTTTTTCAAAATGGCGCGAAATTCCTGGAGGATGATGGGAAGTGGTGACCTTTGAACTCCAAGCTTGGTACGAGTTACATGTGTGGAAGAGCCATCCAGCGGATAAGGTTCCGGGTCGGAGTTTAATTCTGACCAGGGTTCCAAATAGTGCGCAGTAAATCGCCGGATCTGCGAGGTTGTCACGCTAGGTTTGGCTCCCCATAGCTCGGCGATCGCTTTAGATTTTCAACTAGGTTTTGAATTGATCAAAAAGCCTTGGGATTGTAGTGTTTTTCGGCGCGGTGAAGTTGGACGGCCAGCGAAGCGTTTTTGGTATTAGTCCGCGAGCAAGGGTGATGCGGTTTGTCGCCTGATGACCCAAATAGCTGCGTTCTATGTGGAATTTCTAGGGGTTCGCGTCACCGGATTTTGCGAAAAACTTATCGCAACAACCTATATTTTTTTTCTGTTTTTCAGAAACAGGAAGTAGTAAGCTATTTCAGCATATAAGCCGTTAGCCTGGGAAAATTCGTTTTTTGCAAGCAGGTCCGTTGAAAAAACTGCAAAAAAACTACATTTTTCGTATCCAAAATTTACGTTTAACTACAGTTTCTACCCAAATTATAGAGTCGACGGACAATAACCAAAATTGTATCGGAAGCCGGCTGGAAACCTCCGTTGACTGATGTAATGAGATTTCCCGGCGTACTTTTTTTGGCGGAGTTATAGCCCTTCGGTCTGAGGGTGTCCGCCGGATCCAAAATCGTGAAAAAAACTCCGGTCCGAGACCATAAGAAGATAACTGCACTTCAGGTAAACCCTCGTTCGTGTTCAAGTACATCTACTTGATTTATGCAATGTCCTTGGTACAAGTTTACAACCGCTTCGACAGGGGATTTTTTACCGTCGGAAAAAAAAACTTTTGACCTGTTACGTCTACGTATGTGTGTAACGTTATTTCTCTCTCTCTCTCTCTGTGTCTCTCTATCTCTCTGTCTCTCTATCTCTGTGTCTCTCTATATCTCTGTCTCTCTCTCTCTCTCTCTGTCTCTCTCTTTCTGTCTCTCTCCACCCTCCCCCCCCTTCCTCTCTATTTCTCTCTATCTCTCTCGTGGGAGCCGACCCGATTGTCTGTGTGTGTGTGTCCGTCCGTCCGTCTGTCTGTCTGTGTGTGTGAAAAACGGCGCTGTTGTCTGATGTCCGGGCTGGTTATACATGTAATCTGTATCCGATAGCGCGCCGTTTGAAGCCATACCCGCCTGAGATCGGGTCGTGATGCGGCATTTGTAAGACAGAAGGTGTGATGTTTAAGTGATGTTCTAATTACCGCAGATTGCCGGAGTGATCTGACGGGAGAGGAGAGAAGAACAATGCCGGGCTGGGACAGGCGGGGTACCCGAGGGGGATCAGAGCATGATCAGAGCATCTGTGAGGGAAATAGTCTGAAATTAATCTCCAAGCAGATCTTTCGCTAGCTGCAAAGACAATATCAATTTGGCCAGGCTGTACCAATTTGCCATAGTTGCACCAAGGACATTCTACGCCTGAAGCAAGGCTATTTGTTCCCACCCCATTGCCTCTACCAGGCTTCGGGAGGCGGCTGGAAAGAGTAGAAATCGGCCAAATAGAGAGATAACATGCCCGGGGGAGAGGCGCAAACTGTTCTCTCCATTAGACCAACTCCCCCCGAATGTTGTCTCTCTATTTGGCCGACTTCTACTCTTTCCAGCCACCTCCCGAAGCCTGGTAGAGGCTATCAGGTAGCCAGCCGCCTCCCGAAGCCTGGTAGAGGCTAGACCCGGGTGTCGCCTCCCGAAGCCTGGTAGAGGCTACCCACCCCCCACCGTCCGCACGTGTCATGTGAACCACCCCGCTAATCTTCCCCGTAATGAGCGTATGAAAATTTAACGGCTTCGGTAATGATTAGAGTAATAATGACGGATCAGGCAGGGCTTCTCTGGACGGCTTTTGTTGTCTGTGCGAACTGATCCTATCTGTGCGAAAACCAGAGCATACACCAGAGAACCAAGAACGTTTAAAATCAAGACCTCCTTGAAAGATCACACAAACCACAAACTACAGAACAAACAAAGCACTTTCTAGACAATCGAAGTTTGCCTTGTGTTGCAAGTATTTTATTAATAAAGTTGAATAAACCATTACTTCTTACTTCTTTCTTTCTTTTCTTTGTGTACTTGTACAGCACAAGCGTACAGGTAGTTGTACGTGTTAACGTGTACATGTATTTCAACTTTTTAGTCTGCTTTGCCTTTGTAGAACCAAGGAGGTTAGAAAAGGGATACATAATTACAAGACTTTTCCCAACTCCTTACTCATTGAGTTACAACACAGACGGTTAACTCCATGCTTATATATAACGTCCGTGGTACATGCATAGCAGATATCTGGCTCATCTTGTTTCAGATTTCTCCTTTACTTGTTGTGCCTGTCGTTGAAATTTCTCTCCACTACATAAAGTGACTAAAACGATAAGCACGTGGGAAAATAACCGGAACAATTGGACAGAAACAAAAACACACACGACGAAAAGTCGTCCAGCATGCCTCCACGCTCCATCTGCATGATCAGTGCCGGTGTCCCAGCACCCCTCGGCTCATTAGCACACGACTGCGGGTATGAATTTCATCATCACTTCTCCCGATCCGCCGCTTGTAATTCATATCAGGGCTTTTGTGATGTCCGAACTCCTCTTGGGACCCAGTCGGGCATTGTCGGCCTTCTCTCGGGACCCGGTCGGGCATTGTTGGGCTCCAATCGCATTAGGACCAATAAGACCGTCCGAGGTGCATTTCAAAGTCGGGCCGGCGGTTTTCTGTTTGCGGCTTTTCATTAGTGTTTTTACCCGGTCGGCTTGTCGAGATAATACCTACAATAATACCGGCTATCGGAGCGCTGGGGGACGTCTCCATACAAATACACGCTGCTCACTTGTGGAGAGGCTTGTTATGCTCTACCAGGCTTCAGGAGGCAGATCCCTCTCGGTGGCAAAAAGACAGTATCAAACTGACCGGGCAGTATCCATTAGCCAGAGAAGGCAGTCGCCAGCCACCGACGGGGGTAGCGACAAAAAAAGGGCCATATATAAAAATCTAACGATCATTCCCCCACAACCTCTACTTGGAGAGTAAGGCAAACTGTTCTCTCCAGCAGACCAACTCCCCCGGCATGTTTCGCCAGATTCTACTCTTTCCAGCCGCCTCCCGAAGCCTGGTAGAGGCTATCTAATATAATATACCGGCTATCGGAGCGCCAGGGGGACGTCCCACCGAAACGCTGCTCACTTGTGGAGAGGCAAGTATCGCTTAGCCTCTACCAGGCTTCGGGAGGCGGCTGGAAAGAGTAGAAATCGGCCAAATAGAGAGATAACATGCCAGGGGAGTTGGTGCTGCTGGAGATACCATTTTTTCGCTCCTTCCCGAAGCCTGGTAGAGGCTATTGTGGAAGGTCTAAAATCTCTGGAACGATAAACATTTAGACGGCAAATAAAAACGTAAACTCTCTGAAATTTGCAGTAGCCCGCCTGTGGGAAGCCTGGTAGAGGCTAGGGTAGCCTGTTTGCAGTAAGCCTGCGGCCCCGACACGCGGCTGTGGGGACCAAGCGGCTGTTTCTGGTGTTGTGATCGCCTGTGGTAAGCCTGATAGAGGCTAGGGTAGCCTGCCTGTGGTAAGCCTGATAGAGGCTACAGTAGCCTGTTTGCAGTAAGCCTGCGGCCCCGACACGCGGCTGTGGGGACCAAGCGGCTGTTTCTGGTGTTGTGATCGCCGAGCTCAACAAGTTTGTAAACAGAGTCAAGGTCGGAGGTACACACACAGCCAGGACGCTTAGCCTGGAGAGCAGGCCCCGCGGAAGACAGTCAGATAACAAAGTGTGTGTCTTAGTATAGACAGTTCGAATGAGCATTTTTCATTCACTTATTCCTTTATTTTTGCTACAAATAACAAAGTTGAGTTTATTCTTATGTATGTCTAAGTCAAGTAGTGTATCTTTTGTCTCCACTTTTCTACATACGTTTGTTATATGTCTATCAAGTCTTGACCTGTACCTAGCCCGTCGTGGCATGAATGTACAATAAAGGTCTTTCATTTCATTTATTGTGTGATCTTTATTTATCAGCCTGGGCATCAGGCACCCCACACGGCTGCTCCAACAATAGGGCATATCAGTAGCAGGGCGTGAAACCGACACGAGATGTAATGAGATAATCTATTTATTTATGACGCCACCAGCTCAGGGCTGCCTAATCCCCGAGCAGAAGTTGGTTTTAGTTAATCTCCAAGTAGCCTCTACCAGGCACCGCGGATCGCTGGAAAAATAGTAGAAAATGGCCGAAATAAAGGTAATATACCAGGGGAGGTAGCCGGCCAGAGAAGATAAAAATTCGAACAGGCTCCATGGGTCGCGAATTTTATCTTCTCTGGCCGGCTACCTCCCCTGGTATATTACTATTCCTTTATTTCGGCCAATTTCTACTATTTTTCCAGCGATCCGCGGTGCCTGGTAGAGGCTAATCTTCAAGCAGATCTTTTGGTGGCTGCAAAAAGACATAACCAAATTGGCCAGGCTGTATCCATTGGCCAGACAGTTACCATTAGAGATTAGAGGTTTGGACTTTCTAGGTGTTTTTATCCAGCTTTCTTGTAAACTTTTGTATACGGGTTCATTTTTTTGTCGGCCAAATGCTATCCCGTCAATTTGATACCGTCTTGTTAATTTCATAGCCTCTACCAGGCTTGGGGAGGCGGCTGGAAAGAGTCGGAAATCGGCCAAAATAGAGAGATAAGCATGCCAAGGGAGTTTGGCCGTTGAGAGAACAGTTTGCCGCCCCACGGCGATTTCTACTCTTTCCAGCCGCCTCCTTAAGCCTGGTAGAGGCTATTAATTTCATACTGTGTTGCCAGTTTGATACTATCTAGTAGCCACCGTAAGATCTGCTCGGATATTATCATTATAGGACTGCTGCAGGTGTCGATGATGGTCAAACTAACGAGGTGTTAGAACTGTCCAGCCCGGAGCGAGACACGCCCAGATCGTCGCACGGACTTCGCACCATCTGGGCCCGCCTATAAACGTTACAGGCTCCTCTA